TTAGGGCCCTCTGTTCGCCTCAGAGGGCCCTCTGGTGGATTTAGACTTCAGAGGACCCTATTTTGGCATCAGAGGGCGCCTCTCTGTGGCATCAGAGGGCCCTCGGAGGCCTCAAATGGCCCTATTACATCTCAGAGAGCTGTCTTTGACCTCAGAGGGATCTTTTTTACTTCTTTGTGGTGTCTGAGGGGGCCCTCTGGCCTTTGTTCGCCTCAATGAGCCTTAAGGGGTCCTCCGATGACTTCCAAGGACCTTCTTTGATCTCAGAGGGCCTGATGACCTCATAGGGCTCATGGTGGTCTGACATAGCCTCATATCACCTCAGAAGGCCCTCCAGTGGCCTCAGAGGGCACTTTGTGACTTTTGAAGGCCCTCCATTCGCCTTAGAGGGCCCTCTTTGATCTCTTTGATCTCTTCGATCTCAGAGGGCCCTTTGTTCACCTCAGAGGGCCCTTTGATGACCTCCAGGGACCATCTTTGATCTAAGAGGGCCGTCTGGTGGCCTCATAGGGTACCTTGTGGCCTGACATTGACCCTCGTACCTCAGAGGGCCTTCTGTTCGTCTTAAGGGGCCCTCTGCTGGTCTTAGAGGGCCCTTTGTGTGCCTGGGAGGCCCCCTGAGTACCTGAGAGGGCCCTCTGTGTGTTTGAGAGGGCCCTCTGTGTGCCTGAAAGGGTCCTCTGTGTACCTGAGACGGCCCTCTGTTTGCCTGAAAGGGTCCTCTGTGTGCCTGAAAGGGCCCTCTGTGTACCTGAGAGGGCCATCTGTTTGCCTGCGAGGGCCCTCTGTTTGCCTGCGAGGGCCCTCTGTGTGCCTGAGAGGGCCCTATGTGTGCCTGAGAGGGCCCTCTGTCATCTGTGTACCTGAGACGGCCCTCTGTTTGCCTGAAAGGACCCTCTGTGTGTCTCAGAGAACCCTCTGTGTGCCTGAGAGAGCCCTATGTGTGCCTGAGAGGGCCCTCTGTGAGCCTGAGAGGGCCCTCTGTGTGCCTGAGAGGCCCTATGTGTGCCTGAGAGGGCCCTCTGTGAGCCTGAGAGGGCCCTCTGTGTGCCTGAAAGGGCCCCCTGTGTACCTGAGAGGGCCCTCTGTGTGCCTGAGAGGGCCCTATATGTGCCTGAGAGGGCCCTCTGTGAGCCTGAGAGGGCCCTCTGTGTGCCTGAAAGGGCCCTCTGTTTACCTGAGAGGGCCCTCTGTTTGCCTGAGAGGGCCCTCTGTGTGTCTAAGAGGACCCTCTGTGTACCTGAGAGCGCCCTCTATGTGCCTGAAAGGGCCCTCTGTGTACCTGAGAGGGCCATCTGTTTGCCTGAGAGGGCCCTCTGTGTGCCTGAGAAGGCCCTATGTGTGCCTGAGAGGGCCCTCTGTGTGCCTGAGAGGGCCCTCTGTGTGCCTGAGAGGACCCTCTGTGTGCCTGAGAGGGCCCTCTGTGAGCCTGAGAGGGCCCTCTGTGTGCCTGAGAGGGCCCTCTGTGTACCTGAGAGGGCCCTCTGTGTGCCTGAGAGGGCCCTATGTGTGCCTGAGAGGGCCCTCTGTGAGCCTGAGAGGGCCCTCTGTGTGCCTGAGAGGGCCCTCTGTGTACCTGAGAGGGCCCTCTGTGTGCCTGAGAGGGCCCTCTGTGTGCCTGGAAGGGCCCTCTGTGAGTCTCAGAGGACCGTCTGTGTGAGAGGGCCCTTTGTGTGTCTCAGAGGGCCTTTGTGTGCCTGAGAGAGGCCTCTGTGTGCCTGAGAGGGCCCTCTGTGTGCCTGAAAGGGCCCTCTGTGTACCTGAGAGGGCCCTCTGTATACTTCACAAGGTCCCTCATTGGCCTAAATGTGTCCTCTAATAATCCTCAAAAGAGTTCTACAATACTTTTTCTTTTAGCGAATAAAATGGGAAGTGGTCAAAAGGGCCCTTGAAGTCATTTAAATTTTTTCCGTGTTATAAAAAAAAACTTTTTTTCTAGGCTCCAGGGGGGATCCTAGGACCCCCAGGGTCCCCCCTTGGATACGCCACTGGCATTGAGTCACGGTGGTTTCCAGGTGAATACTGAATGTGCCAGTGACCGGAGAACGCTAAGAACTAGCGAGGGATGTGAAAAGAGGCAGAAGTCAGAGGCAGTGTCCACCATCTGGTGGGACGGAGCGGGACGGCGGGTCTCAGTCCTTCCAGAGGTCAGAGGTCATATCGGAGGAGAGACGGAACGGGACAGGGTCAGTCATTTCAGAGGTCGGATTTAGTTTTGAACGTCATTCGTGACACGTAATTTATAAACAGGAGCAGACAACACGCTGGTTAGGAACTTGGCTTGAGATTATCTCTTCAGCTGTTCGTGGAAGAGGGGGGGGGGGGCTAACGGTGCAGGGTCATGGCTGAATTATGAATACGGTACAGGTGGTGATTTAGTTCAAATAAAAAGCGAAATTTATGCATTACATAGCTAGAAACCAACCAACCTATAAACGCGGAATTCCAGCAGCAGAAGCGTAGTACTTAAAAACTGTAATCGGGATGTCCTTGAATAAAGCAGTTACCTACGTGTTGGAGTGATTCTGATATGGCAAAGACTGTCATTAAAGCGGCTTCGGGCTTTTGTTGTAAGAAACATAAATACCCACTATTGCATACGTTTTTAGTGAAATTGTGATTTTTCTCTGGAAAGGGTACAAACAAATCCTTGCACATTGCTGATTGCATAAGGGAAAGTTTGCTTTTAATTACACAGGTGACAGGAATGTAGAAGGAAACAAATCCGATCTTTTATACTTTAAAGAAACATTTTGTTTTTGTTTTGTTTTTGTAACGTCCAATACCTAAGAGCAGCATTTTTGGATTCGCCTAACCTATGCTCAGTAAAATCCACTTCTAGTCATTATGTTGCAGCATCCAACATTTTTGCAGAAATTGATTTTGGAGCAGGCAAGGCCGCAAGGGTCTTTCTTGGCGCTGCGTCCTAGGCTTAGGTATTGAATTGAAGACATCGGCAGTTCATAACGATCGGGTAAAAAAGTTATCGTTTCGCTCGTAACTTGGTCGGTTCATGAGCGGTGATGACAATAACCCGATAATTTCTGTGGTGAGCGGCTATTGAGTCTGGGTGCGTCCGTCTCGGGTGGATCGATGAGGCGGCCGCGAGGGACAGAGGCGGCCGGGAACAGGACGGCCAGTGCCAGTGCACGAGCGGTTGGGTGTGGATGACCGGAGCCAGTGCACGCGCAGTCGGCTCAGCGGGCGCGCGGTGTGGCGCCTCGGCCAGACTCGCATCCGTGCTATTTATTTTTCTATATAGAAACTCGGGTTAAAAGTTCACTTTTCAGAAATAAAAGGAAACTTGGAAATTGAATAATAATTCGGGGAAACACTTTTACTTTCCCTGCACTCACATGTAAAAACTATACGGCAACCAAGTCTTTCAATGAGTGAGACTAACATACGTATAGCCTTCAAAGCAAAAGGTTAGTACTCGAACAATTCATGACAACCTATTACCAAATATATTTAGGTACATATCCGTTTTAAGACGGCTAGCTGGTACACATTTGGTGCGCCATTAGGTGCAGATTTGTTCAAATTAGGTTCAGTGTGTTTCTTAAAAGTTATCAGTTTGAGCTGCATGCAGATGGTTACACATGTATCTCATTGTTCAGATAATCAGACATTATTTTCTATAAAACACTGAAATAAATTCATTATATGAAGATCTCTTTGTAAAAGATTTTTGTGCACATTTGATCAAAATAACGAGATCAAATTAGTTAGATGCATTCGCCAGATAGCCCGTCGTGAAAACGCTATTAGCCGTAAACGGGTTATCTGGCGAATGCACCAAATTTGACTAAATCTGCACCGCAACAAATATCTCCATACCATGAATTTATTTCAGTGTTTTAAGTAATCGAAAATTATCACTGATAATTAGAAAAATAAAGTATAGGTATTAGCAACTAGCGCGACCCTAGATTATAACTGCTAAGAAACACAATGATCCTAATTTCACCAAATCTGCACCAAAAAGCCGTTTTCACGACGGGCTATCCGGCGAATGCACCTAATTTGACCAACTATGTACCAAATCTCTTTTACACCAAATATCTTTAAATTTTGAACTCATTTCAGTGGTTTAGTCGACCATCATGCCTGATAGTATGACAAAGAAGGCATGTAAGCAATTAGCGCGACCCTATGACCAAATGTGTACCAAATGCGTATCAGATGGCCGTCGTGAAAACGGTTAATATGAACCAACTGTGCACCACATAGCAGTCGTAAAAACGGCTATTACACCTTTTTGCGTTAGCTTTTGACCATTGGACAAAACATTTGTACACATTCGCCATATAGGTGGCGCTACAAATGCGCGGTTGGTCACAAAGAATCACCATTGTGCAAAATTATTAGGCGGTCTTCCTCTTCAACACGACATTGAGCGAATGGTTCAGCATTGTGCAAAACAAATCTTCAATGGTCGAAACTATTCGTCATATGCCAAGCTGGCTCGCTCAATGCCGAAGTCTGGCGAAGTGTCAAACTGTTTTGCAGATCATTCATTTTAGTGTTCAATCTGTTTTGCTGAATGGCTGAAATGAAACACACAACGCCGGAATAGTTGTGCTCAATGCTCATTGTCGAAATGGCTCCTTAAACAGTTATGGCGAATGGTTGAATTCAAACGCAAAAAGGTATAGTTGTCCAATCGCAGCCAGCGCTCAGTCGTCATGCAAAAGTACAAACGTCGAGGTCGGTCGTCGGATGGCAACTTCCTCTGGTGGCAGGCACCCACTTGAGAAGCGAAAATGCGGGTGGGTCGGGAAAAAAGGCACCTGGGTGTCTTTTTCTTTGCATTGACCAAATCAGAGTGAAACAAGGCCATGTCTCCGGAGTCCAGATCTAGTGTAGTCCCATTGCCCTTGAAACAAACATGGCGCCACAAGAACTGTCTTCTATACACAACAAAGCAAGCTCTGACCAGTGGCCAATGCACATTCAATTAGGGCTCCAACAACCTTCCACATTAACTCCATCGCCAGGGGCCATCCTGGCCAGGTTCGCGGTACGGTCAGCTCTGGGGACCGCCATGGGCACGTCGACCGGTCACGCACAGAAGGACGGTCGCGATCCGGAGCACGGCCGCGACCCGGAGCACGGCCGGCTGACGGTGGCCACGCTGGCCGTGGGCGGCTGGCTGACGTTCAGCGGCGTGCAGTGGCGCACGCTGCCGCGCCACCACTGTCTGCTGGCCGCGCTGCCGGTGGCCGTGTTCGCCCTGGCCGCCGCCGGGATGCTGCTGTTCCCGTTACAGGCGGACGGCGTGCGGCGTCTGCTGGAGGCAGGGGCCCAGTACGGATTCCTCGTGCAGTCCGTCACCGTGCTGGCCGTGTTCGTCCGCCGCCGTAAAAGGTGAGGAGGCGTGCTCCGAGAACGGGCATCGGTTCTGGCTGCATTATTTCATAGTGCTTGCGCTTCACAGGGCCAACATTTGCCAGTATTTGGTATAGCTCAAATATGCGTCCGCTGTAAAATGCGCATAAGCAAGCAGGTTATGTATTATGTAAGCAGTATTTTCTTGCTGCCTCCGGGTTCTCACTACCCTGTGTCTTTGTGCCACCAGTCTGCTGCGTCTGGAGTCGGCTCTGACGCGGCTGGAGCGGCGCGCCGGCCGGCCCCGTCCCGGCTGGCGGCGCCGGCTGCACGTGCGCCTGCTGCTCGTCTGGCTGCTGGCGGCCGGCGCGCTGGCGCTCTGGTACTGCTTCCTCCTGGTGCCGGCGCGCTTCCACCACCCGTACTACATGGTCAGCATGTTCGTACCGGAGCTGCTCCACCGGCCGCCCGCCTACTGGATCGTCATCGCCTACCAGGTGCGGACCCAGTCACACTGACTCTCCTCACCTGCACAAATGCACAATGACTTCACAGATACTCCTTATCTCCTTATACTGCATAACGAGCCTACGGTCACACAGGCTCACCTCACTTGCACAATGACTTTACGGTGATTAACGCACCTATCAAAAGTAGACTATTCTTATGTCGGAGTACATAACTACACGGGCTTCGTCATTCCTGAAGGCCAACTAAAACCTTTTCAATATTTTCCATGCTCCATGGCTCATTGCTCATTGGGCAACATATATGGATACGATGAGACACCAGCCAAACTACTTTTTCTTCGTAGTGACCAACTGGTCGGTCTGCATGGCTGAAACTGTTGATGAAATACATGCAGCAACTTTGCAACTCGTTTCTAGGGTCGTCACCATTCGTCAATCGTCAATCGTTTGTTGTTCAATCGCTATTAACTTAAAATATGATGCATCAATTTTATGAGAATACAATTAACCTCAAAACGATTTAATGTCTAACGATTTACGATGAATGATTATATGATGATTCTAGAGCAACAACTCACGAAAGGTCTTAACTGCATTTACCTTCTGTCTCAACCTGTCTAATTACGACCTAAACTGTGATAACCTTTATATTTATGAGAGTTGAAGGCGTTGCCTCTATTGCGAGCTTTCTGAACTGACCCTATAGCGAAGCAGTAACTGACCCTATAGCGAAGCAGTGCATGTAGCTGTAGCTGTTTCTGTATTTCCTCACACATGCATAGATCGAACTACGACAGCAAATAGGTCACAACACATTCACATCTACACCTCATTTTCGAGTCACCTCACAGCACACAAACAGAAAGAGACGCAATTAGTAGCCATCCAGCGTGTGCGTTTGTGACGGCGATGGGCAGCGGAACCCATGTTGACCATGTTTGCAGGCCATCACCTCGCCGAGAAGCGTGTCACCCGCGGACGGCCTGGGTAAACATTGGCCAAGAGGCGCAGCCATTGTTGTAATACCAACAGACCTGAATGGCAGTGCGTTCGGCACGATGGCGACTATTATTTTGTAAATTGCTGAAGGATGTTTATCGCGGTTATAAATGGAATCGGAATTGAAGAGAAGTGTGATAGATTGTAATAGTTGGACTTGTGTAGTGTATGGGTAGTGGTGCCAGGCGCTTGACCGTTTGCACTAAGTTTGACATTTCGTTTTCTTATTGAAAACTCGGCGTTCGAGCCATATTGACGATGGATAATGGTCATTATTTTGTCTGGAAACCCCAAAGGCGCTTGATAAGGAAAATACGGATAATGCTTAAAGCTAACACACTTTATGAAAGATGTACCTAAAACGAAAAAAAAATATTGACAAGATTGGGCCTCCGTAGAATCATCAACCATATAGCAAAAACGGACTATATATTGACGCAATCTAACAACAACTGAAAATGTGTCGAGTGACGGGGCATCTATATCAATAAACCCCCTTGCTCTCATGTCGCCTCTCTGTCTCAGCATCGACTTCACCGAGTCAATCAAAATCGTTTGTTTAATTATTGATTTGTTAGTTTCCTTTTCCTTTTGTATTTTAGTGTGTTCTAGCGAGTAGGAAGCTCGAGAGGCTGTGAAGTTTGTAGATAAAGCAATCTAATCTGACAAGTCAGTCCTTTGACCAATAATTTCAATATTACAGTCGCACTCCACGTCATCGCATCAAATGGAATGGCGCCCAGAATGCCTGCATTTTTATTCTTTTAGGCATTACGAAGGAAGCATTCATAATGTAGGCATGGATTTCATTCGTCGGCAGATGGTGTTGATATTTTTCTCCTGCTGCCTGGCGGTAACGTTCGACTCGTGCTGCTACATCTGGATGGACGCCATCAGCTTCCACCTATCCGCCATCACAGAGCTGGTGAGCGGCGCCCCGGCCGACCGCCGGCGTCGCACCGTCGCCGCCGACGGCACCAAACCGACGCCCACCACGGGACCAGCCGAGAGGCGCGTCGGCGTCGACGGGAGGTGGGCCCTGCCGACGGAGAGGAGACGCTCGCAGCAGGAGCAGAACGGCCTGCGCCGGCCGGCGGGCGACGCTGACGGGCTGGTGCGTATAGAGGTCTCGGAAAACCTGAAGACGAAGAGCGCGCAGGTGCCGCGAGACTGGCCGGACGGCAGGGAGGAGGCCCCGGCGGAGACGACTGTGGACTCGGTGGAGAGGACACTGGAGCTCGCCACCCTGTACTACTCAGACGTTCGCAGGTGAGTGGCCGCGATAATGAAATTCAGGATTTTGTGTCCATACTTTCGTCTCGTAAAACATTACCGCTTAGTTTCATTTCACGAAACATTTCAGCTTTTCTTGAAAACTCTTCTTCATCCTTTATCTTTGGCGGGATTAGCACACAGTGACTGCTATCGCGTCGATCGTGTTTCTTTTGGCAGTTTTCTGGAGTCCGTGAACGAGGTCTGTGGGACGTCGCTGTTCATGGCGCACGCCGCTGCAGTATCGGCGATCCTGTTCGCGGCTTACTACGTGATTGGTGTAAGAACAGATCAAAGGCATGTCGCATAGATGCCTGCTTGATCGGACCATGACAGCTGCTTACTTTGTCTTTTTCAAGACCTCATCAATTACTCACTGGAAATAGTGAAGCGATTACTTTAGCCAAAATAGGCGTATATTATGTATTTGTCTGTGGTTCTAGGTCACTGAGCGGACCATCATGATGCGCGAAGATCATTGTCACATTCAATAGCCAGACTTTGTTCGTATCCTCCCTATTCTAATAATCGCCGTTCGCTCAGTAACCGGCCAACGGCTGACCTGTCACTGATCGGGCTGTATTGACCGATACCTTGCCTGTATCTGCCGACAGCTAATATTCAGTCTGTCGGTGCGCTGCAATCAGCTGGTAATGGTTCAGGCGGTCGCTGTCATTGTGTACGTCAGCCTCTTCCTGATCCGCGTCATACTGCTTTCGGTGGACGGTTCTGGCATCATGGAACGGGTAAGTCACGGGTTTGGCGTCATGGATTTGCCGGTCCCGTAGCTCAGTTGGTTAGAGCGTTGGACTCCGCGTGGTGAGAGCACGCGTTCCCGGTTATCACAGTCCGGGTTCGAAGCGCGACGGGCGCTCGACATTTATGGGCCTCCTGACAGGTATGGTTGCGGTTGGTGGCAGGCCGTAGCCAGGCGAAGTCAGCGAGGGGACCGGCCGTGCGCGGCTTTGTGCGCACGTTAAACTTTGGGTCTAAATTCTGCCATAGAATCGGAATTGCGCGATCGGAGGGTAGAGGGCAGGGTCATCGCAACAAGCTTCGCTTAGCGGTGGGTCTGTCCTTGTGAATCCTTCCCATCAAAAGGTTCGGACAAAATTTATAAAAAAAAAATGGATTGGGTACGTCACTCTGGTCGCTTCATATGGTAATGCGACAGCAATGTTCTTGCATAGTGCGTGTTAAACGCCGTTAGAAATAAATACATTTGCGGTTTGCTGACGTAACAAATTATTCCGGCTGAGCTCTGTTACCGCTCCTCGACGCCTGTTTTTTCTTATGTTTTTTTTCCGATGAATCTCATCCGGTGACCGACTCCCTTCATCCGCAGAATTCAGCCCTAACAGACGCGCTCGTTGATGTGGGCGGATCGACGCTGAGCAAAGGAGCGAACCGACAGCGCAAATCCATGCTGCAGAAAACCAAACGACCGTTCTGTGTGGATGTCATCGGGTTCTTCGCATTGCAAAAGTCCAATGTTCTTTCGGTGAGTAGTAATATGTGATCTGAATGTTATCTGGCATCCAAAGCATCAAATAAATCTTACAATTTGCATTATATCATAAAGTCAGCACTCATAGCACCCTGAAGATAATGGTGGGCTAAGTGACAATGATAACAGTTTGACTCATTTGTTATCTTAGCACACCATTGAGCAGCGAAAGATAGAAACTCCGTTTAGTAAAAAAAAAAAAAAAAACACTAAAGCATGCTTGCAATCAGTCTATCACAGCCGAAACAACGAATATGATCCTATAATTAGGTAACGTGGCGCTATGTTTTACAGATACTGAGCTTCGTCCTGACGTACATCATCATACTGATGCAGATGGGAACCCTGCAGGGCTTCGACGGCGACATCGCACACGGCCCAGAGCAGAACAGTGGTGAACTGGACGGCACCCAGTAACGCGCACACTTCTTATGACCGCACTACATCTTTAACGAATCCCGTGATTGTATTCGTGCAACTGAAACTTTCGCTGCGATACTTTGTGAAGTGGATTGAAAAAAATGGCATGCACTTAATGATGTGGACTTTCAATAAAGTCAAACCATCAACATCGCTTCATTATGATAGGTGGCAGAATCATTGATGGCATGACATCGGTATAGGGAAGTGGCGGCAGCAGGAGTGAACGCTGAGAAACAGTGCTAATCCAAATGACGCACAAGTGGGAGGCACAACCGTGACGTGACTTGGACGGCGTCAATGATTTTTGAGAGATCCTTTATACACCACTATTGACCATCATAGGTACTCGCAATACCGTGAAGGTGTGCGGTCAACCGGTAACCTCTGGGCCAATCAGGTCAAGCGCCCGAAAGTCGTTTTTGCGAACTACTGACGAAAATAATCGCAGAGCAAAGGCATTGAACACCGTCGCGTTTTTCGCGCCCAACCCCGTCACGATATAGGCTTTGGACCGGGGAAAGGTCAATCTGAGCGTTGACCTCCGGTCAAGGTTAGGACGTTAGGTCAAATCCGGTCAGGTATGGACCTTGGCGCAAACAGGTCGAGCTGTACATCAGTCGATTCACAGTTCACTTTGAGTTTGTTCGTCCAGTTTCCGGCACGCTATCTCAATGTGATACAATGATGATATCCACTAAACTCCGACGACCTCAAATGACCCAGTGCCCAGTGGCATCATATGCAGAAGCTACGCAGGGCTGCGGAGTCAGATTCGGAGTCGGTCGGTTCTGACCGGAGTCAGAATCGGAGTTGATTTTTGGAAGCCGGAGGCCGGAGCAGGAGTCGGAGTCGGAGTTACCGAAAATTCATCGACTCCGCAGGCCGCAGCTCTGCCAGGTCTGCGGAGTCGGAACTGGAGTCGGTCGCAGTCAACAGTTCTGCCCGGAGTCGGAGTCGGAGTTGGCTTTTGGAAGTCGGAGTCGGAGTCGGAACCGCTGAAAATCCATCGACTGTGCACTGTGCAGCCCTGGTACTTGGTAGGTACTTACCAGTGCAAGTTGCAAGTAAGTTGCAAAAGCCTCTTGCTGTTACACCGAATTATAGGTAGACAGCGATTTCGTTAGATTTTCTTGCACCGTACACCCTGGCCCACTCGAAAATCTCGACGGTATATACTGCCTTGATCTAGACCGTGACAATTTGGGTAGGTAAGTATGTACCTACTATATAGTAGGTACCTACCATCTTATCGAGCCGCTATGCAGAGCTGCCCGAGCTGGTGCAAGAGAAAATGCCCAGTGGCCAGGACCCAGGTAAGAACAAAAAAAAATCTATTCCACCTCTAGATCTAGGATTTTCGGTGCAAATAGCCTCAGGACAATATCGCTTAGACATTTCACATGCATGATCCTGAGGACTCACCTGTGTTGGAGCCGCGGTTGTCGGTTGACCTCCCACCGCGACTTGCCGCGATCATATTTACTTGACCCTTCATTTATCAATTCACTAATTGCAACGCATTTGAAATGATAAATCGTCCCAGTTCACTCAATGGTATTCCGCCGGCGAATCACTGGGCACTCGCTGAACACGCGTCACCGCCAGAAAAAAAAAAACACGACTGGAGCGGTGATGGCACGTTCAACGGATCACAATTCACGAGTCGCAGCACAACCACGTTGACGTGTGGAGCACTGACTTCCACGTCAACACACGCTGGCTAATTAATTAAATCCCATCACCACTCACACACTCTTCCCGACACACATCACACACGTTTGCGTTGCGCTAGCACAATGCAAACACCCGCCGGGCACAGCGAAACTTGAGGAAACTGAGAAAACCCCCGCATCACGCGTGTGCGGTGTGACCTTGAATGGGACATGGGGCAGACAGAGCGCCCTCTAGTGGCCGCACGGGCCCAGATAAGAGCGCCAGCCAATCAGCAACGACGAGAGGTGTCGTCTCTGATTGGATGGCTGTTGACTGGAACGAGCACGTGCGCTGGCTGCCGCAGTTGGGGAGGGAGGGGGGACGGGGGAAAGGCCTCAAGGCAAGACCGAGGGTAGGGCGTGGGTCGCCGAGAGGCTTTCAGCTTTTTTGTTTTGTTTGTTTGTTTTGTTCGGCCCTTTCGATCCAATTAGACCATTTCAGAGCCGGAAGGATGATAGGAATTAGGGGGACTGGGGAGACATTGCCTGGTCTGGGCAGGCACCCTAGTGAGTCACCGGGGCTGAGCCCGTTCCGAAAGACAGGCCGACCAGACCAGCCCCAAGGTACTCACTGCACCCGGCTACGCTACGGGGTGCGCTCCCTCGGGAGCAGCCCGCATGAGATAAAGGTGCCTGTCTAGCCCGGAGTAGGGTTTGCCTCATGGAGGAGAAGGATTTCAGTATCCTGAGGATGGAAGCGACGGATCGCATGGCTTTCAGTTTCAGCACTACGGTACGGCAGTACTTCACCCTTCCCCGTTCCGTTTAGGACACGTCTTTGAAGTGACGCCTCCTCCGTTCCGTAGTTTAGGTACCTACATCCTCAGGATATTGACATTCAAATCCCTCTCCTTCACGCCTCCTGCCTCCACATTCCACCCCCTGTTCCGGGCTGGACGCGGGCAAGTTTATCCCACGCGGATAGCTCGACACCAGGAGCAGGCCCGTAGCCACCCCGGGCTGACGGTTACAGCACTATGTATAGTACTATGTATAGTGCACAACCATAGGCGGCGGAACGATTTGAGACAAGGGGGGAGGGGCACCAGCTCAAGGAGCCAAACCTAGGGTACCCCCAAATCCTGTTTTCTCATCGGATTTAGGCCACTTATTTTTCGTCACAGCCCTGACACGATGATTTTTTTTCTTTTTTTTTACTAAACGAAAATGGCAGAACACCCCCGTATGTGTGGTTAACTTTAACCCTCGCCGGCACAGGCCATTTTGCGTCCTTCGACGGCACAAGGGGGGGGGGGGTGGTACGACCCCCCCCTCGCGCCCGTCACAAGAGGAAGCCGATGATACCCAATTTTAAGGTCCTAGGTCATCGGGTGACCTTCCAGGTCAGGTCAATGACCCGAAAACCGGGAAAATCGGGACCTGTTAGAAAGTCGTAAAGTGTGGCTGCTATGTGGTTTTCCGGGGTGCTGATCACGAATATCGTGCTAGTTTTGATCAGAGATGATGTCTTCAAGCATTTAGACCAGGTCAGGTCAGGTCAGGTCAGGTCAACCGGTAGGGGTTGTAACGGTTATTCGTAATACGTGTCAACCGCCTCTGACAGCTTCGTAACATGTTACGAAGGCACCAAAACTACTTCGTAAATGTTCAAATGGTTGCTAAATTCGAATTCAGCTCCAAAAACTAGCCTAGAAACATGTAAAACTCGAAAAAGTGAACCGAGGTCACCCGAGGTCACCAAAGGTCAATGACCTAACCTGACCTTCAGGTGACCTTGACACCCACCCTAATGTATGGGAGCAACATCAAATCACATGTTTGAACGTTTGAAACCACGAAAAGCTTGCAAACGCGCGGCTAATGCGAGCCGACATACGCTGAATCGCGATTCCGGCCAAACATGGTCTCGGAAAAGAGGTCACAGGTCAAAGGTCATTTGGGTCAGGGTCATGAAATTTTCAGGGTAGGTGTAAAATTGATCAATGCGAGGGTACTGAAAGTTTCGTCGCGATCAGCCGCTTTTTACGCGAGTTATTCGCGAAAAACCTTAGGGGGGTTGCATCAACCCCCCGTGCCGGCGAGGGTTAAGCTGATCCTCAAGTACCTATGTGTTTGTCTCTTCCTTATTCTCGTTTGATAAATTCCGTTAACCCTCGCCCGACGAGGGGGGTTGATGCAACCCCCTAAGGTTTTTCGCAAATAACGTAAAAACGGCGGCGCGTAGCGCCGCAAAATTTGGCATACCCTCTGGGGCAGCATTTTCGCACCTTTCCTGAAAATTTGAAGTCCCAGTCTTTTCAGATCAGGTCACCAGGTCACAAAAACCGGTACAAGGTCAGGGGAAAATTGCTTAGCGGCAACTGAATTCCAAAATTCACTAAAATTGGTAACAAAGATACCACTCGATGCGCACTGACGTCCTGAGTTCACTGGTGCTTTTATTTTTGCTCTATCTTTGCTAGGTAAAAAGTTATAAGCGAAAAACTTTTAACATGTTTAAGCAAAATTTTTGCATTAATACCCCCAAAACCCCCCTAAATATTGACTTAGAGTCACCAAACTTTCCCAGGGGCGAGATCTCCCATGGACCCACCTACCCTGTAAATTTGTCGTTTCTAAGTGCCATAAGGAGCCAATCGCGAGGGGGGTCGTACCAACCCTCTCCCCCCTCGCCGTCCGTGTTATGAAAAAGGCCCTCGCCTGGCGAGGGTTAATCCTACATGTACCTATCAAATTACCAAAAAGCCATTGCAGTACTAATCAGTGGCGAATCCCAGGGGGGAGGTCACATGGGTCATGACTTTGGGCCTGGGGTCACCACATGCCTGCCAGGAGCACCACAGGCCTGACAGCCGACAGGGGCACCACAGGCCCGCCAGGGGTACCACAGGCCTAGCAGGGGCACCACGGGCCTGTCAGTGGCACCACAGGCCTGTCAGGAGCACCATCGGCCTAGCAAAAGTACTACAGGTCTTCCAGGGGCACCACAGACCTGCCAGGGGCACCAGAGGCCTGCCAGGGGTACTATCGGCTTCGCAGGGGAACCACCAGCCTCGCAAGGGCACCATGGGCCTGTCAAGGGCACCACAAGTCTGTCGTTGGCACTTTAGGATTGTTAGGGGCACCACAAACCTGTCAAGGGCACCTGCGTTCTAACAGGGGCACCACAGGCTCGCCAGGGGCACCACAGACCTGCCAAGGCCCAGGGACACCACAGGCCTAGCAAGGACACCACAGGCCTGTCAGGGGCACCACGGGCCTGTCAGGGCCCATGGGCACCTAAGTCATGTGCAGGGCCCACCGTGGGCTTGTCAGGGGGCAGGGTAGGTCGGTACCACAGTCTATCCAGGGGCACCAGCGGCCTATCAGGGGCACCAGTCATCACACGACTAACCAAAAATAAAGAAAATAGGAAACTGAAAATAGGGCACCACCAAAATTAAGTGGCCGCAATCCGTTGAGGTTTTAATTTTGGGTA